TTTTTTGGGGGGCCCCGTTCTATTTGGGCGTACATAGGCGTATTCCGAATTGGCAGGTAGATGACACCATAGGCATATTTGTTACCCCCATTTCAAGGCATATTTATTAATTCATAGGCTATACCAAAGTGTGCAATGTATTGCTGTGCATAGTGCGATGACACTCGTGAAGAAGCTGCAAACTTGCATGTTGTCTTACCACTCCATATATAGGAAGTGTGCAGAAAGACAATGTGCTGGCCACATGGTGTAAATAAATGTAAATAATGTAAGTGTATACTATATACTATGTACGATATCCGATATTCTATATTCACGATATTATGATGGTTCTGTCCGAAAATGGTGCATACTGCATATTCATTTCCAAGGATTATGATCATATTTCCCCATATTTCCCCGTATTTTCAGACAGACCCGCATCAACGAAGAGGTTCCCGCCTGGTCACATGGCACCAACGAGGCAGGCAGCATCATGAGCCTCAGTGGTCTGGCAAAGATCTGGGAAATGCACGATCGTCCCACTCTTGCTATGAAACAAAAGTGCAAGTCTTAACATGTCCTGTTCCATCCAAATGTACCTGAAACTAGTTCTATTCCCCGCACCATGCACATCTCTTCCCACTTTCACCATCCAAGATACCCTGGAAGCCCGAAGCCTTAGTCTTTCTGAGTGTATCAGAAGCCAATGATCCGGAATCGAAAACAATTACAGTGAACCGTACGACAATTAATATGTGATTTCCAGCATTCCAATCCTTTGGTCCACACATAGCTGGTTGATTGGCATCAACTTACTGCACAAATCGCAAAACAAAAATTCAACAGCAATCCAGCCATACCTAAGTGGCATCCAATTTCAGCACGTGGGAGTCAAGGAAAAATTAACATCAATTAAGCCACCAATGCCCTGAACATCTGTAACATCTGCAACTTCTGTATGTTCAAACATGTTCAAACGGCCATTTCAAGCGTCCATCTTGCGGCACGCCTCCATGAGGAAGAGATTGGTCCGGTAGCACTGCCACCTGCAGTGCTAAAGCATCGCTTAAGTGCAAAGAAGATATGAATCCGTCTGGAAAATATGGTTTAAATTTAAATTGATTGGAAATTCTAATTCATTGACGGTTTCATTCACATGGAGAGTGATAAGTCACAAAACGAGAAACCTATACATGAAACAAATCACAAATCAACACATCAATCAAATCAATCAAAATGAAGGTTTGCTATGACTTAACTGGTGAAAGTTTTCAATCCATCGGAAAAAAATCACCTCCACATAACCCTTGGCGCCGCCAAGGCGCCTGCAAGCTGTTTGTCACCAAAGCCCCAGCCGCCTGGCGGTTTCGCGGTTTCACCATGACCATCATGTGGTGCCTGTGTTGCCCGTGCCTCCAAGGGTGTGGCCACATAGGCCAAGGCTTCCTTCAGACTGCCCAAGACCAACTCCTTGGAGATTGTGCTAAAGACATGAAAAACTCGTAACCCCCCAGTATTTCATCACTGTGCATAGTTATTCAGTGCGATACAGCAAAAGAACTGGAAGATTCACACGTTCAAAAAATAGTGCCGATGAGGACAATTATGGCCTTGTTCTTGTGCGTGCTTCTGTGCACATGAGCCATGTAACCACTCCACTGTCTCGTAGCCCTTGAGAGGCTCCCAACTGAGAATCCAACCAACTCCTCAGCGCTGAGCGGAGGCGAGTCAAATGCTTTTTGCAGGTCTCTCATGGTCTCGCATCAAATATCATCAAATCAACCATTTTTTGAATGTGCTGAGCTTTGTCTTTCGGCTTGTTCCACTGAGCCTGACATGCGAACCAAACTTGCTGGCAGCCTAACTATTCGGATGGTCAAGCTACGGTCAAGCAACAATCCTTTCGCCCCAATGCAATGGATCTTTGGTCTTTTGGAAAGATTGAAAAAGGAAGGGAAGTGGCAATCATAGCACTTTGCCAGATTTCCACCATGAAGACCCTAAGAAATCCAGCAAAAAATGATCCCAACTTCCGGCTCTGAGTGATTCTGCCTCTTTGGCGGCCAGAAAGCTTCCAAAGGGCCTCAATACAAAGAAGGTACGGACCAAACTCCACCAAACAAAGGGCCAAGCTGCATGTAGCTGGACAGTAGTTGGAATCTGATCAGCGCCGAATTACAAAAACCAGGAAGTTCCATAGTCAAAAGTCAGCTTCGAATTTCTATTTTGGATTCTAGCCGTGTACTGCCCCTGCTTTGGATTCTTGCCTTCATCTGGGTTTGTCTGAGAACAGGGCACCTAGAAAATCCAATGGCTTATCATCACGTTCCCATCAACATTGCAATTCGCGACGTCCTTCATTTTCAAACAAATCCAAATATCACACTGTTGGTGTGTATATCCGATTCGTATATATCCCCAGCATTATTCCCTCTTGCCTATTAGTCCCATCAAAATCGTCCCATTACACTCAATGGGAAGACCCTATTCATACCCATTGGGATGGCTTTAGAACTCATAGGTTCGTAACCCTATACCATCTGGTTATTTAACATAGCTATGGACAATCCCTAAAATAAATGGAGGTTCATAGCTGGGAACATCATCTATAAATGGGTCATTTTCAATGGCTATGTTAGTCATAACCAGAGGGTAACCCTATTTGTTACCCCCACAAACATCAATAGAAATCCATCGCCCAGCTCTGGGAACTGCTGAAAAAAGACGTCACCCTGAGGCCGCGACGTCTGGCTCTGCCCCACCAGCAGACCAAAACTGCCTGTGCCCAATACTCCAGTGGTGACATGGCACCTATATATATATACATACATACTGTATGTGAGTGTGTGTGTATAGTTATTTATATGTATATATATATATATGCATGTATGTATCTATATATATATATATATTGCATATATGTGTGTATATTATATTATATTATATGATATGTAAATTATGTGTATATAATATAGTATGTAGGCACGGATGCTATGCCCCAAAATGTGACATGTAATGGGCAGGAGTCTTATATACATGCGATGTAATGTGATGAACAAAAACAAGGGATGCGTATTAAATTCAACCCATCAACTGCACCCATGAGACTCAACGTGGAGGTGCCAACAATCTGTGGATTGGCATGGATTTTTCATATGTATTGACCCTGTCCGATGCCCCTACTTTTCTGGAGCAAAAACACCGACCCAACTCAGCAAAACAAAAACTCTACAGCAAATGTTCCAAAAAACGGTCCAAAGTACACTGAAATTCGCCAGTCCCACCTTGATCTACTTGTAGGTCACCAGCCGCGAAGGCCAAATCTTCCAGAGCTGCCCTTGGGGACGGCATCCGGGATGTTCGCATAGATTGGGATCTTCCAATGGGGCCATGTTTAGGTGACCCTAAAACAAGCTGGTTCTATATAGCTGGAAAATGGATGTTCATCCCACTAAAAATGGTATTAATACGTATTGATCCATACCCATATAACTACATTGATGAGACCCTTCAACATATTTTAATTTACTCATCCAATGTCGGAACCTGCTACGGGGATGGATGCGGGGGTGTAAGACAGGACGCATTTTCCTTTTCCAATTAGTGGTGCTGTATTTGCGAATCACATGCATGCCATAGCATGCCCCAGACTTTCCTCACTGTCACACTTGCAACCATGTAGGACCTGGAAAACTGCTTCAAAGGAACAGCTAGACTCTTGGGATGGTGCTACAAACCACAATAAACCAACCTTGAAATGCAAAAGAATCACCTGGATTTGCTCAGGCTGAAGCTGGTCGACCATGAAAGTGAAGGGCTGGTAACCCTCAACGGTCTTCCCATCTGCGGGTTCCTGGGAACGCGGGGGAGGGTACGTGCCAAGCTCTGTCTTGCCCAACCTTGATGGAGCACGTCAAGATGGTATGCAATTCGTGGGGGAAGATATGTCATGGGACGCCCGAAGTGAGAATGTGGCATTTGTATGCATTTGTATGAAGTAAGGGAAATCCCCACAAGGAGTTGCTGCTTTCAACTCATCTTTTATGTGACTCAACTGGGATGATCTGCCTAAGAACGGTAAACTTTTGAAGGCCCAAGGGCCCACAACCTCCCACAGCTACCAGGCATCATGAAGGCAGCCACAGGCCACAACCATCATGCCAACTGGCACCTCACAGCACGACAATGCGGTCAGCCATGGAGCGTGAGTTTGCCACACCAGTCTTTATTGCAAAATGTTGAAACATGTTGAAACCATTTGAAACCATCATCCAAGTGGAAGCCATCTTCAATATCTTCAATAGGAAAATGTAGGAAGATGATGGAACATGATATATATATATATATATATATTCATATAACTATGCACAGCATCAAGATTATCTTCTAGGTCAGTGGTGGCTCCCATATTCCTTGATTTTACCACACGAGGTGAGCTGCCAGTGCTGTGTGATTTTGACTGTTCCAAGGTCCCACAACACATTTGAAACAATTATGCAACAGCCAAAATGGGTGACCTTGGTCACATGATGTACCCTCCGTGTAATTTAACCGGTTGCTATGGAAAGTCACCATTTCTTACAAGCAAAAAAAATGTAAAGAACATGTAAATTGGCCATCTTCCACAGTTATGCTACAGGGTAATCATGGACATTGCCACCTTACTGAATGAGTGGCCTACCGCAAGCCACATCTGGGCACCCCAACGTACAAACTCACTGCGCATGGAGCCAAGGAGTGAGCTGGAGTCGCGGATGCCAGACCTCAAACTGTGGACAGATTGAGGCATTCTACCTGCAAATATCTGAGAAAAGAGTTTTACTTCATCCTAAGGATCTAAGGGAAGCATCCATGCATTGGAAAGTTGGAAGGAATTCTATCTGATTTGATCTGCTGAATGATGGGCATATGTGCGGAGAATTCCTCGAGGATATAAAGCTCGATTCTCCCAGTTCAAAGGGATTCTATTGCAGGGTGAGGTGCGCATATGTTTCACGTATCAGCATAAAACCCAGCAATTACCGTATCACTGTATCACCAAAATGATGGGTTGCTTCTTTCCTTTCTTTCCCCCCACATATATCAGAAAAAAATAACTCAACCATTCTCAACCCATTTTTCACAGTCAGTCCCAACCCCCCACCTCCCCAAGCGTTCTCGCCCCGTGGCCGCTGATCCGACCTTTTTTGGCCGAGCCCCCGCGTCATGGCGACAGCTTCGCGGACCCGCTGGGCGGTCAGCTGCAGCGGAACCTCGAAGGATTTCTCGCGGAAGTTGTCCACCTCGAAGCTCAGAGGCATGGTGCCGTTGCCTGCGGAAAACACGTGGGACTTTTTAAGTGGCAGAAGGCATGGGGGTTGAAGATACCAAGGGGGATATACCATACTGGGGTCATGGACATTTCTTGAAATAGAGGGATCCATGATGATCCATGGACAAAATCATCCAAACATTCTCGTTTTTTGATGGGGAAACTAATGCTTGTGCTTCGGTAGCAATACCAATTCTGAACTCTGAGGGCATTCAGATTTTGTGGAACAACTTCTGCCCTTCCCAGGTGCCTTTGATGCAGATGTGATGCTGTCCAACAAAGTGGGCCAGGCCTCCATAGATGCCTCGTGTTCACCGCAGATCTTGAAGGGAAGATCGACAAAAGCAACCCCCTGAAATGAAAACGAAAATGTTTTTTGGCAAAAAACATAGCTTTCTTGCAAAGGGTTCAACATCTTAAATCCGTAATCTCTGAAATATGCATCAATTCACACATCAAAACCAGGTTTCCCGCAAATACTTGTTCAGTCGATCCCGTTTGGGTCAACAAAAAAGGAGGGTGTCCTGCAAAATGTTCTCCTAAAACCAGCGCGTGGATGTCCAACCCCGTGGATGTCCTATTGCGTACCTTGAAGGTTGCCAAGGCTGCACAGTTCGTCCAAACAAAAAACACCAAGTGTCTTTGTTCCAATGTTCTGAGCACAACCAAATCCCTGATCATATTTCCCATCGCATATCCCATCATTTCCCAGAATCGGTTTAAGGGAAAAACTGCAGGAGACTTCTATATCATTATATGTTGATATACTTTTGGCTAAGGCCCATGGTTTCCTCTAGTTTTTTCCATGTTTTTTTCCCTTAAACCCACCCATCTGCCAGGGCGCTATGTCGCAGGTTCCGCGGATGATCCCAGGTGTCCACGCAGGCCACATAGCCCGGGAGCGTCGGCATCAGCTCCAGCACGGCGGAACCTGTCCGTCCGGATGTCACTGAAGGATTCAAGGAAAATGATGGGCTAACAGAATGATAACACTGTGGATATAAAGGATGATATATCAATGATGATGCACTGAAACATGGGTATATATATATATATACACATGATAAATGAGAATCAATGGGCATATGAATGGGTAAATGATGATACATGCTGGTAATGACTAACAGCTTGCACACTGGAAATCACCATTGAAATAGGATAAAAGACATGACCCACACCACTTAAGCAGCCTAGGGCCCTAGGGGTTTATGCATCCTTTGGTTTTATATATATATATATAAATAAGGACTGTTCACATTTTGGGAGATCACTGTCTTGCAGATATGGCGCGGATGAAGAAATTTACTGTTCACTGTCCAAGATAACTATCAGTGTTTCTACATGATCACAATCATGGTCTATCTTCATGAAGTTGTGTGCCCTTTACATGCCCGGACTCCCACCTGGGTTCATGGCCACCATCCATGCCAAGCCGGCACCATGTGCACCAACCAACACGTCTGCCTCTGATGTGAAGCACCATGAGGCACCATAAAGCACCCAACAGCTGGGGATCCGGTTTCATCGTGACACTTTCTCTGAAATCTGTGTTTTGGAAACTTTGAGGTAGATCCCAAACAGTAGACGCGTCGTCGTATTATTTTCAGGCTTCATTAAATTCGATGTTTCCTGATCAGGGGCACAATCTTGGCTGGCACACTGTGTTTGCAAGTTCTCTTTCCTAACTATTTCCAGGCATCCCAAGCATAGATGTTTTCTTTTTCTAGTGATAAATCTCCAAACTTTGCAGTTCCCTGGGTCTTGACATTGACCGATATGGCATTGACTGAAAATTGGGCAACCTTTAATTTGATGGTTACCCTTCAGTCATCAGGCATGGCGTGCAGGAAAACCCACCATTTCGTTAGATGTTTTTCCCAGCTATAAGCCTCTGTTGCCATGTTTGATTACCGAAGGGTAATCACCATTGATCACCATTACCCACCACCAATCAGCGTTCATCATCGTTCTTAACCAGTATTCAACCATTACAAGCCTAAGTATATTTACAAGTATTTCCCATTAGTTACCAGTATGTTTATCATCCGATCATTTTTTCGGTCCATTTATCCGCACCTGTGAGGCTAGCGCAAACTGCTCCAGGAGCGAGTGGGATTCCTCGAAACACCAAGATCATGAAGTCTTAGTTGTAGCTGCTGTTGCTTAGGATTCAAATCCCTCATTGCAAACAAATTGAAAACAAACTGAACTATCATAAACTATCCATAGAAATTGAAGCACTAAACTTTCCATTCAACATATTCAAGGCTTTCCCACATGACATGAAGACTTGAAGACAGGAGCTTCATGATCCCACCGGGGTTTCGCCAGTGGGGCCCACTGATCAGCAAAAACACTGATGAAAACACATGGAACCATGACAAATAGCTTTAAGTGTACAATATACATCAATATACTACATCATATACTATATGATCATATACATTCATATACAATCCTGCATCCATGGGAAAGCTAGAGCCACCAGGATTTTTGATAAGTCTCCAAACCTCTTGATATCACCGGCAATCAAACCAACTGGAATGTGGTTGTTCCCAAACATAGGATACCCCAAAATTGCGTGGTTACCTTAACCGCTCCTATATTTATCCATATTCCCCGTCATTTAATGACGATCACTTGATATTCAAGGTTGTGCATCTGGTATTCAAGGTATTCCCCACTTTAAACAAATTCATTATAATCTTTCCTCACACCTCGCCGAGCATCCAACGCACGGCTCAGGACCCGAAGTCCCGGTGCACGCGCGAAACGTGACAGCGACCGAAGCCGCGCAGTCACCAGGTGAAGGTTGGAGATGTGTCTGGGGCGACCTGCCGCCCTGTTGATGATCAACACCTAGGAGTTTGCTCCGTGTCCCTTGGAAAAGATGAAACAAATTGGCCAACCTCCGGAAAATCCACCATGTATATCTGGTGGGACTTCGCGTGGAAAAAGGATGAAAAAGGGGGAGGGGAGGTGCTTATTGCCAGCTACCAATCACTAGCCTGAGTGGCCCCACCTCACACTGGGTTTCTTTCGCCAATGTGACACCAGCATGCAGAGCCAGGGCCCGCCGAAAGAGAGCCAAGTGCTGGCGACTCATTTGAGGCTCTTTCATGTCATAGCGAAAGGAGCGGAAACCCACAGTTCCTGGCTGTGACTGGCCAAAATGGGGCAACAAACGCTGGGTATTCTTGCAATCTTGGCCCCCCTAACGGTCGGTTGGTGGTGTCAACTCCATGCCAACCCTTGCCAAGAACATTGCAATTTGCGCCGATGATCTCAAATAATCGATTGAAAGAACAACATGGAATTTTAAAGCTTACACCATAGTCCCCACGCGGCCAATCAGGCCAACCTTCCAACCATCTTCCCATCTCCTCAAATGTCCGCCCCGCAATCCCCTGCTTGTCGTCCATCAATCCAAAAATCGAAGAACCATTGCATCAAATTCCCATCTGGTGATGATTCGCTGATAAAACATGAACATCAATGAACATCCGATCAAAAAAAACATCTTAACCAAACCCCAACGAGGAACCATCCCAATCCCAACTTATCCCAACCATCGGATTTTTTTCTGCGCATCCTTGTTGGAAGCAGATCTTCTCCGTGTGCGCCAGGAGAAGCACCGGATGCGCCGACAGTGCCCGAAGGATGGGCTGGTGAAAGGCAGCGAAGGTGACAAGGGTTTCGCTCTGGGGCCTGTCGCGTCTGCCAGCCGAGGAAATGTAGAACTGCGCGATTGTATGTGCGTACACAACTATGTCACTACGTGTGGATGATATGTATATATATGTGTGTGTATGTATTTATGTATGTATGTATGTACGTATGTATGTATGTATGTGTCTCTATGTGTTTGCAAGTCTGTATGTCTGTATGTTTGTATGTTTATATGTGTGTATATCTGTATGTCTGTGTGTCTGAATGTATGCCTGGATGTGTATATGTAAATGTATATGTACATGTATATTGTATATTGTATAATGTAAAATATATTGTATATTGATGTATATTGTAAATTGTATACTGTATATTGTGTATTGTATATTGTATATTGTATATGTATATGTGTATGTAGTCTATGCATATGTAATTGAATGCGCGCACATATATACAATTATATAGATGTATAAATGCGTTTGTGTGTATATTAAGGTGCCATATTTGTATATGTAATAAACGCCAAGCTCAGGGCATCAGAACTATTCAAAACTCCTCAGAGAAGGCTGGTGGATTTCACGAAATCTACTCGCATCTCACCCCATGGGAATCGCCACCATGCCACGCTACCATCCGCATGAATTGTAGAGGATCTCCATCAATTCCAACATCCACCCACGTTTCAAGTAGTGTGGGTTATGGCTTCAACAATGTTCCAACATGTTTTTTTTCTGGTGATCATATATGATCTACTCCGGGTCATGGAGCCCGCAGCTCCAGCTACCCCGGCTTAGCCTCTGGATGTCCCAGCGCGCTTCCCCATGCCGTGGCTGGTTGTCAAAAACGATAACGACCTGACTTTGGCCAACGGAAGCTTTGAAGCTGGTGGTTCAACATGAAACTCATCATGTCTCATCATGTTTCAACCCATCCCCCAAATATCAACAGTATCCAACAGTATCCAACAGTATCCAACAGTCAATATGTAAGATGAGTCCATGGGGATGATCATCCCATATCTAGACGTTGAACACACACACACACCTTTGAAACAACCACCAGCCAAATGTGATCTCTTGTTGAACACCTTGGAAAGTCAGTTTCATACGGGGGAAAATTACAAAAGGTAAGAAACCTCCAGCGGAACATTGGCCCGATTCACCATCAAGAACCGCGATATAGTAATAGATGTAAAAAGATGTAATAGGATTTACCGAAAATGGAATTGCTATACACTATGTAGAAAAAACAACTGTCATAATTGTTACTATAGTACTATATCATTTGAATTTCAAAGGAAGTTAAAAGGAAACAACAAGTCCTCCTATTTTGCATTCAGGATACCACGCGTCGACATGTCAAAAAAATAACCCCGCAATAAAAACAACCTCCCCCAATATGAAAATTTGCCATCGCGGCACGTCGTTTTTTTGGCATGTCGACGGGCACAGTTATGTCATTGTAGCATGTCGACGGGCACAGTTACCTCGTTTTGGCATGTCGGCTGGCACACTTAGGTTGTTTTGGCATGTCGACTCGCACAGGTACGTCCTTTTTTCATGTCGACGGGCACAGGCGTCATTTTGGCAGGTCGACGGGTACACTTACTAATTTTACACTTTCCTATTTTCCCTGTCCAACCTACTTTTTGGCATCGCGGAGCGACATTTTGGCATGTCGACAGGCACATTTACTATTTTTTACTATTCTCTCTGTCCAACCTACTTTTTGGCATTGCGGGGGAATCATTTTGGCATGTCGACGGGGTCATTTTGGCATGTCGACGGGCACTTTTACTATTTTAGGCTTTACTATTCCCCCTTGCCCACCAATTGTTTGGCATCGCAGGGCATCATTTTGGCATGTCGACGGGCACATCTACTATTTTACACTTTACTATTCTCCCTGTCCAACCAATATTTTGGCATCGCGGGGCCTCGTCGACGGGCACATGTGCTATTTCGCACTTTACTACTCTTCCCTGCCAGCCTACTTTTTGGCATCGCGGGGCGTCATTTTGCATGTCGACGGGGTGATTTTGGCATGTCGACGGGCACATTTACTATATCATATTATACACTTTACTATATTCCCCTGTGCAACCAACTTGTTGGCATCGCGGGGCGTCATTTTGGCATGTCGACGGGGTCATTTTGGCATGTCGACGGGCACATTTACTATTTTACACTTTGCTCTTCTCCCTGGCCAACCAATTTTTTGGCATCGCAGGGCATCATTTTGGCATGTCGACGGGCACATCTACTATTTTACATTTTACTATTCCCCTTTCCAACCTACTTTTTTGCATTGCGGGGCGTCATTTTGGCATGTCGACGGGCACATTTATTATCTTATTCTTTACTATCTCCCTTTCCAACGTACCTTTTGGCATCCCGGGGCGTCGTTTTTGGGACACCTTCTTGCCGTAGCTGCTAACCAGCTCGCCATGTCAATGGGCAGAGACACGTTTCGAACTGTTTCAAAACATTGTGCCAACGCCTACTCATGAATACCAGTCTTCATCCATGTCATACAAAGGCAAAAGCAGCCACAACTTCCACAACTAAGAGGGTTATGATTCCGGGTAGACAAGAGGAAGTTGTTTTTAGCAAAAAATAAAAAACAAAAAAAAAACACGATCAAAAACCGAATCACTTGACATATATTCTGACATTCTATCTGACATACACTCTGGCATTCTATCTAGCACATATCCTGACATTCTCTCCGACAATCCTATCAGCCATTGTATCTGGTACTCTGCGGCACATGTCCTGACATTCTATCTGACATATAGTCTCACATTTCTATCTGGCGCTTTCTGTGACATAATTCTGACATTCTATCTGCCTCTTGGTTCCTTGCAGTTGGTGCTCACTGCGATCGGGAGCTTGCAGTTGAGGTCCGGCAGTACCCACTGGGATCGGGCGCTTGCAGCTCAGGTCCGGCGGAGGGGAGTAGAAACGGAGACAGAGGCGGAGAAGCTGGAGACTATGTTGCAAACCTAACAAGCCCCACCTGGCAGGTGGAGAAGACAAGGTCACAGAATTTATGTCAGTTGGAACGCCAGTTAGGATGCCAGGTACAGGCGGCTCGGAAAACCGCTCACTTGCGTCGCCTATGTTGCACTTGTGTCTCGGAAAACTGCTCACTTCCGTCTCCTCGTCGTCATCATCATCATCATCATCATCATCACTCATCATCACTCATCATCACTCAACATCACTCAGCATCACTCATCACCTTGATAATCTTGATAACCTTGATCATCTTGATCACCTTGATCACCTTGATCATCTTGATCATCTGGATCATCTGGATCATCTGGATCATCTGGATCATCTTGATCATCATCATCATCATCAGCAGCAGCAGCATCAGCATCATCATCATCCTCATCATCATCATCGTCATCATCACTCATCACTCATCATCATCACCATCATCATCATCATCACCATCATCATCACCATCATCATCACTCACCATCACTCAGCACCACCCATCATCTTGATCATCATCATCTTGGGGTGGGGTGGGGTGGGGTGGGGTGTGATAATGTCCTTCGGCTTCAGGCACAGGGACTTTATCCTAACGCTATGAAATCTTCTTTTGCGCTTCCACACATATGCTACGCTATGAGATCTTCTCTTGTACTTGCACACTGACATGATGCCACGCTATCAGATCTTCTTCTGGCTCTGGTCTGAGGGTGGGGTGGGGTGGGGTGGGGTGGGGTGTGATAACGTCCTTTGGCTTTAGGCACTATATCCTACCGCTATGAGGTCTTCTCTTGCGCTTCCACACATACGCTATGAGATCTTCTCTTGTACTTGCGCACACCGACATGATGCCACTCTATCAGATCTTCTTCTAGCTCTGGCTTTGGGGGCGTGGGGTGGGGTGGGGTGTGCTCACGTCGTTCGGCTTTAGGCACAGGGACTAGATCCTACCGCTATGAGATCTTCTCTTGTCCTTGCATACCGACATGATGCTACGCTATCAGAAATTTCTTCCGGCTCTGCTGATGATGATGATGATGATGATGATGATGAGGATGACTATGATCATGAAAATTCTGATAATGATGGTAATGATGCTGATAATGATAATGATGATAATGATGATAATGATGATAATGATGATATTGGTGGTAATGATGATGATATGATAGTGATGATAATGATGAAGAAGAAGAAAAGATCATGACGGCGGTGCGGCGATGACCATAACAATGATGACGATGATGGCGACGATGATGATCATGAACAAGAAGATGATGATGATGATTATGGTGGTGGTGGTGATGATGATGCTGATGATCCTGATGATCATGAAAGTGAGGATGATGATGCGGAGGGGGATGATAATGATGAGGATGATGAAGATTGTGATGGTTATGACGATGACGACGAGCATGATGATGATGATGATGATGATGATGATGATTGTGATTTTGGAATCACTGCCGAGATGACTTTGGAGTCACGAGCGTGCAGAATTTGGAGTTACAAGCAAGACATCGCCCGTGAGAATGCGAGATATATTGTCAGAAATAATGCCGACAGAATTTCAGAGAGGCGATGTGGAGCAAGAATGCAGCATACAAGCTTTGTGAAAAAATACAAGTAGAACCCGCGCGAGGCGGGTGGCGGAAGTTTCCAGGTTTAAGGACTGTGACGCTATAGGACGTTGCTTTGGCATTTCGATGGACACAAATTCTTGGCGTGTTGACGGACACCATCATTTTGGCACGTCCACGGACACTCTTTTGGCATGTTGACGGGGCCAAACTTGTTTGGCATGTCGACGGGAACAACCCTTTTGGCATGTTGACGGTCGTTTTGGCATGTTGACGCGTCGTATGTCGTATCCCGCATTCTTCCGTGTAGGACTTGTACGTATGTTTGCTTCAGGACTGTGATGGGTCTGTCTGTATTCTCCTAAACATTGGGATGGGCCGTGTGACATCTGCGGAAAAAAACTGCCATCAACCCAGCAATGTAAGGACTTATGCAAACCCAGTCTTTGGGAGGGGTGTGCACAAAACTTACAGTAGATCAAAACAAATCCAAACATCTTTCAAGCCCAACTCGACGATTCCGTTGTACCTTTGATGAATCTCAGGATTTCTTTCTCCCAGAATCGGTTTTAGTGAACATCAGCAGGAACCTGGAAAAACATTTTTTTGTTTTTTGGTGAGCCGGGCCAAACTATGCAAAAACAATTCAAAACATTGTTTCAGGAGGCTTCATTGAACTTTTGGCCTAGATCAGTATCAAAAAAAAAATCCACCATGGTTTACTTACTGTTTCCTGTGTAACTTCAGTTAAAAAGTATCAGCACGCCACACGCCAAAAAAAACTTTTAAGCAAGCATTCTTGTAAATCAATCTTGACCCCAAACAAAAACATCCCCAAAAACATCCAAAAACGCTTGGTTTCCTCACATTTCCTTCCCTAGTTCCATTCAATCAATGCTTCTTGGGTTGCGCACCTGAAGTTCTGTTGCCAGCCATCCGCGCTCCTCCTTCAAGGCTAAAGCAGGCACCCACCAGTGTAGCGCATGCCAAACGTTGGGGAAGGGCGTGCCTACTGGCACCAGAAAGGCCTCACAAGGATGGGGTGCTTGAAGTTTCCGGGGCCTAAATCTAACTGGTGGTTTATGAATCAGGGGTTGGCATTACCAACAGGGTGTGAATATAGCTACATGGTTAGGGATGTCTAAACGTCATCAACCAAATCTGACAGGGCACTGTCAGGATGAGCTTTCAGCATGCAGTGGAATATCACTATATATAACGAACCATTCATTCACCAGCCCATCCCATCGTGACAGCATATCATTCTGTAAAATCAAAGGAAACCCTGCCTGAAGGTTTTTGAGTTCCCCAGAGGGGTCCACATCCTGTTGAATCTGCTCCAACTTTACCTCTTTGACCTCATGGATGGGGACTGACAGCTGGGAAACCATCCAAGAGAATCAAGAGAACTATGGGAGCCTGCAAACCATCAGCACCAAGGTGTAAAAATCTGCCGACTTTTTCCCTATCCGTCTTGATTGCCACTACCAAAAGTGCTGCCATGATGGTGTCGCTTCAGACTATTGCCAAAGCCGAACGTGCTGAAGAATAAACTTTCAAGTTGGGAGACGTACCCATTGAATGGATGCTAAGTAATGCCAAATGACCAGATTAGGGCTATCAAATGCACCAAACTCCGCGCAGAGGGCAGTTCTGACATCACTTCCACGCCATTTGGGAACCACGATTGCGCCAGATTCTAAGCAAAAACCATCCAGTGCAATGGGACCATCGCAGCGATTCTGGTGCACCTGCAGTTGGGGGATTGTTGAGGGTGGTAGTCATGCAATCACAAAAACGCTTGGGTGGAAAGAAGCACCAACAGCCGTCATGCGGACATAGTCAGAGTATCCCCAAACAAAATCAGGATCTAAACAGCATAAACCCTAAATCAAACTTAACCCCAACAATAGATGGACAGATGGACATAGATGGACAATCAAAGAAAACGAACCCAGCACTCAAAACCAATGTTCGGTAAAACTCTGCTCCGTCGCCATCTCGAGTTGAGCCCCATGGAATTGGCCATCCCCCCAGTGCCATATTTTGCCTATAGACTTACTATAAACTATAGACTTGCTACAGGCTTTAGATATCTATAGATCTATGCCCATTTCGGTGCTTAATTTCAAAGACCCCAGATCTTGTGATTTTCCTCCTTGATTAGGGGTCCCCCAAGAAGATTGCAATAATTAAGCTCCTATCAAAAATTATCCCGGCAAGAGACCCCAAACATCCCCAAACAGTGTGGGGGGAGGGAGTAAAAAGAGCATGTATTATGATGAGGATGAAGATGATGATGGTGATGATGGTGATGATGGTGAGAGGAAGAAGATGATGATGGTGATGATGATGGTGATGATGATGATGACGAGCAGAGGAATAAGAAGATGATGGTGATGATGATGATGACGACGATGATGATAATGGTGGTGAGAGGAAAATGATGATGTGGATGTTGAGGAGGAAGATGATGAAGTTGAGGAGGAAAATGTTTAGGAGGAAGACCGATCCCAAGACCGGGACGCACACTTTGCGTGAGCCTGGGCAGTCGAAATGCACACAGACATTGCACAAGAGACATCTTGTGCGGAAAGTTACAGGGAAAATGCCAAATGCTAATCCCGGGGCCAGCATTTGGTGCGAGCCTGTGCAATCGAAATGATTCGAAATGCAGATGGACATGTCACAAGAGGCATTTTGCGCAGAAATTTACAGGGAAAATGCAAAACGCTAATCCCGGGGCCAGCATTTTGTGCGAGCTTGTGCAGTCGAAATGCACATGGACATGTCACAAGAGGCATTTCGTGCGGAAATTTAGAGGGAAAATGCCGGACGCTTCCAATATCACCTCAATCGAACACCGGGCCTTAACTGTTACCGTACGAACCCCTTCAGTGTGGCCACACTGTTTGGGGAAATACGTCAAAACCTCTGGAGCCATCTTGAATAAAGGAGTGTTAATCAATCAAAAAACAAGCGACCGCTTGGATTGGCATCCCTATTTTGTGCTTGAAACATTTCACATCTGACATGCCCATTCATGCTGGTTGTTGTTAACAGCCAATTGCAGTCTACATATGTGGTTTTGTCATGCCCGTTCATGCTATCATATTAATATATTATATATAAATATAAAGTATATAAACTAATCCAAATATATATACATATATATACATATATATATATATAGATTATATAAATTCATCCCATATGAATCCCATATGGATCAAATATGATTCACAACCATCACCCCTGCCACCAGGCCGCCGGCATCAAGCGATACGGACTCCGGCGCCAGGCCACTTGGCGCACCGCCTGCCGCGGCGTCAACGGCACCGCTGCGCGGCGGCTCGGCGCCAGCAGGCGGGCGGCGTTGTACACCACGTCCTCCGCCGTCAGGTCCCAGAAGGAGAGCCTTGGAGGTCGGTGAAAGGCAAAGGAAACTATAAAGAATGGAAATATTCGGAATATGAATGTGATGAAGCTATTATATGCTATTATTATGTGCAGATTATGTGTTGTGATTATTCTTGTTGTCATTAACTATGTTTGTTGTGGTTATGATTATTGTTGTTGTTGTTGTTGTTATTAATTATGCTTGTTGTTGTTATGATTATTGTTGTTGTTGTTGTTAACTATGTTTGTTGTGGTTATGATTATTGTTGTTGTTATTAATTATGTTTGTTGTTGTTATGATTATTGTTGTTGTTATTAATTGTGTTTGTTGGTGTTATGATTATTATTGCTGTTGTTAAACATGTTTGTTGTTGTTATGATTATTGTTGTTGTTAATAATGATGTTTGCTGTTGTTATGATTATTGTTGTTGTTATTAATTATGTTTGTTGTTGTTATGATTGTTGTTGTTGTTGATATTAATTATGTTTGTTGTTGTTATGATTGTTGTTGTTGTTATTAATTATGTTTGTTGTTGTTATGATTATTGCTGTTGTTATTAATTATGTTTGTTGTTGTTATGATTATTGTTGTTGTTATTAATTATGTTTGTTGTTGTTATGATTATTGTTGTTGTTATTAAACATGTTTGTTGTTGTTATGATTATTGTTGTTGTTGTTAATTATGTTTGTTGTTGTTATGATGATTATTGTTGTTATTATTAATTATGTTTGTTGTTGTTGTTGTTGTCGTCGTCGTCGTCGTCGTCACTTATCATCTAACAATTGTCTCGTTAATCCAGGCGGGCAAGATATCAAATAAAAAGTTGAAACCACCAGCCCACAAAGACGAGAACTGTCCGGAAAAAAAAGCACAGCTTTTGAACCGAAGCAAGAAGTGGCAACGTCAAACAGTCTGTCCATGGAGCTAGCACCACCAGTGCAAAGGCCAACAGGTACAGCTCTGCTGCCCGATCCCACTTTCGTTGCAGAATGCACGCTTGAGCTACTGCGATGTTGGTGGCAACATCTCCAGATACCTAGGTCAGAAGTAATATTTGATCAATTTTGATCATATGCCAAAACGATCCAAAATTTAGGTTCACTACAGGTATAGTATGATCGACCCAATCATATCTGGACCTAGGATATCTGAAACCTAACATCTCTGCTGCATAGGCCATGTCAAATTCTATTTCCACAAGCCATGCGGATTCCATGCATCATCCTAGTTCAAGCTTTTTGGGGTGCATCATACATCGATTACAAAATATGCTACGAGTAGCACTAGCATTTTATAGGAAAAAGTTTAACGTTTCTATTTTATTGGATTTGGCAAATAACACACATATATGTATATAAGTTGTCTGAGAATAAAGCATCCCAAAAATCCCGTGGCTCATCTTGTTCCCAATCAAGATGGCCATTTAAAGGGTCGACGGTCTATCCAAATTTTCAACTAGACGTAGTTTGAGCCCTAGTTTGACCTCTACACCAGGAGAAAGTCTCTGTGCCCAGGCGCGCAGTTCGTTTGAAGCGACGTCTGCTCGAAAAGCAGCAGAGCCTCCTGAGCCATTCGAGGCTCCACGCAGGACTGCAGCATGGACATGTGATGGGCCGGTTCCTTAATGAGTTGCTGCCGGGCATATCGCGAATATAGCTGGATTGACCAACCATAAGAGTAATAATACAAAGTGATCGTGTAGGATGCTATATCATAGTTGTGAACCACTTACTAATTGGGGTAGATTCCTTGGTTATTAAGTTGAATATCACCAGTATTATGATGACCAGCCCTGGATTTGAAAATCAGCCACTCAACGAATCCAAGGTTCTCCCGGGCTCGTGAGCATTCCGGTGAAGTTGGGATGGTAGAGCCAAAGCCTCTTGATGTTATCACGCATGGCCATCAGCATGTCGTAACCTCAGGAAATTCTCACTTGAAATCCTTCATGCCACACCACTTGTCTATATAGTTAACAGGTACCAGCAAGGCAATGCAGGAACAAACAAAAAGATTCTCTAACGAAAAAGATCAGACGGGTTCAAGTCACGACTATCTTGAAATGGCTTTTACTTTTGCCATGGACCACTGCAACGATGGGCCATCCCAGTGATACATAAACCTTTATCATGGCTACACCGTCCCGGCTATACCACTAGAAATGGGAACCCCCGACTGGATGGCTACTGGGATGGCAAATATAAATATCTTCAAGAATGGTTAAGTATGGTTTGCCACATTCTACAAGCATGGTTAAGTATGGTATGATTAATTATACTGGGTACTGATGAGTTAGGACTTGTGGCCCCGGATAAGTCAGGACTTGCTGGGGTCTAGTCCTATCTCTTGTGTCCACTGTTTGAAGCGCTTATGGGGAATTGGCTAGAATAGCCACATGGGTTAGGAGTTTTGGTACCTGGGATTTGCCAAAACTCCCAACTCATGTGCGCTGAACCCGCTCTGAGACCTGAATGCAAGTCTGAAAAAAAACACCTTGATAAATGATCGGGACTTCATGTTTTGTGACAGCAGCAAGGGCTGATGAGATAGGAAATTACAATGGTTCTAGAAAAAACAAGTCCTATCTCACATGCGTTCAGTGGCCCATCTTTTTGCCTAGTTACACCCATGTGCCAATAGATTTCCCGGATCAACCCCCACAAGTCCTATCTCACCTGCTTTTAGTGGTCAAGGTTTTTCCCTTGCTGCACCCATGTGCCATTAGATTTCCCAGGTCAAATCGTCAAATCCCCACAAGTCCTATCTCATCTGCTTTGTAGTGGTCGCTATTCAGCGTTTTTTCATTTTACATTATTTTCCTGTTGTGTCTCCCGTTGTGTCTCTCCGTTGTGTCTCCCCGGGGCGGCGTTTGCAACTGCTGACCGTCCAGACCGCTCTGAGCAGTGAAGCTGTGGGTGCGAGCAATTCCAAGCGCCTCCCCGGTGAGACACAACGGGTGCCATAGATTTCCCAAGTCAAAGCGTCAAATCTCCACAAATCCTATCTCATCTGATTTTAATGGTCGCTACTTTTCCCTTCCCATGTGCCATAGATTTCCCAAGTCAAAGCGTCAAATCTCCACAAGTCCTACAGTATCTCATCTGCCTTTAGTGGTCGCTATTTTTCCCTTGCCGCACTCACGTGCCATTACATTTCCCAGGTCAAATCATCAAATCCCCACAAGTCCTATCTCATCTGCTTTTAGTGGTCGCTATTTTTCCCGTGCCACACCCATGTGCCATTAGATTTCCCAAGTCAAATCGTCAAACCCCCACAAGTCCTATCTCATCTGCTTTTAGTGGTCGCTATTTTTCCCTTGCCACACCCATGTGCCATTAGATTTCCCAAGTCAAATCGTCAAACCCCCACAAGTCCTATCTCATCTGCTTTGCCGTGGTCGCTATTCAGCTTTTTCTCAGTTTACATCATTTTCCTGTTGAGTCTCCCGTTGTGCCTCTGCGTTGTGTCTCCCCTGGGAGGCGTTTGCAACTGCTGACTGTCCAGCCCGTTCTGAGCAGTGAAGCTGCGGGGGCGAGCGGTTCCAAGCGCCTCCCCGGTGAGACACAACGGGTGCCATAGATTTCCCAAGTCAAATCGTCAAATCTCCACAAGTCCTATCTCATCTGCTTTCAGTGGTCGCTATTTTTCCCTTGCCACACCCATGTGCCATTAGATTTCCCAAGTCAAATCGTCAAACCCCCACAAGTCCTATCTCATCTGCTTTGCAGTGGTCGCTATTCAGCTTTTTCTCATTTTACATCATTTTCTTGTTGTGTTTCCTGTTGTGCCTCTCCGTTGTGTCTCCCCGGGGAGGCGTTTTCAACTGCTGACCGTCCAGCCCGTTCTGAGCAGTGAAGCTTTGGGGGCGAGCAGTTCCAAGCGCCTCCCCGGTGAGACACAACGGGTGCCATAGATTTCCCAAGTCAAAGCGTCAAATCAACACACATACTATCTCATCTGCTTTTGGTGGTCGCTATTTTTCCCTTCCCATGTGCCATTAGATTTCCCAAGTCAAATCGTCAAACCCCCACAAGTCCTATCTCATCTGCTTTGCAGTGGTCGCTATTCATGTTTTTCTCATTTTACATCATTTTCCTGTTGTGTCTCCCGTTGTGTCTCTCCGTTTTGCCTCCCCGGGGCGGCGTTTGCAACTGCTCACCGTCCAGACCGTTCTGAGCAGTGAAGCTGTGGGGGCGAGCAGTTCCAAGCGCCTCCCTGGTGAGACACAACGGGCGCCATAGATTTCCCAAGTCAAATCGTCAAATCTCCACAAGTCCTATCTCATCTGCTTTCAGTGGTCGCTATTTTTCCCTTGCCACACCCATGTGCCATTAGATTTCCCAAGTCAAATCGTCAAACCCCCACAAGTCCTATCTCATCTGCTTTGCAGTGGTCGCTATTCAGCTTTTTCTCAATTTACATCATTTTCCTGTTGTGTCTCCCGTTGTGCCTGTCCGTTGTGTCTCCCCGGGTTTGCAACTGCTGACCGTCCAGCCCGTTCTGAGCAGTGAAGCTGTGGGGGCGAGCAGTTCCAAGCGCCTCCCCGGTGAGACACAACGGGTGCCATAGATTTCCCAAGTCAAAGCGTCAAATCAACACACATACTATCTCATCTGCTTTTGGTGGTCGCTATTTTTTCCCTGGCCGCGCCCATGTGCCACTAGATTTCCCAGGCCAAATCCCCACAAGTCCTATCTCATCTGCTTTGCAGTGGTCGCTATTCATGTTTTTTCTCATTTTACATCATTTTCCTGTTGTGTCTCCCGTTGTGCCTCTCCGTTGTGTCTCCCTGGGGAGGCGTTTGCAACTGCTGACCGTCCAGCCCTTTCTGAGCAGTGAAGCTTTGGGGGCGAGCAATTCCAAGCGCCTCCCTGGTGAGACACAACACGTGTGCCATAGATTTCCCAAGTCAAATCGTCAAATCTCCACAAATCCTATCTCATCTGCTTTTAGTGGTCGCTATTTTTCCCTTGCCAAACCCATGCGCCATTAGATTTCCCAAGTCAAATCGTCAAACCCCCACAAGTCCTATCTCATCTGCTTTGCAGTGGTCGCTATTCAGCTTTTTCTCATTTTACATCATTTTCCTGTTGTGTCTCCCGTTGTGCCTCTCCGTTGTGTCTCCCTGGGGAGGCGTTTGCAACTGCTGACCGTCCAGCCCTTTCTGAGCAGTGAAGCTTTGGGGGCGAGCAATTCCAAGCGCCTCCCCGGTGAGACACAACACGTGTGCCATAGATTTCCCAAGTCAAATCGTCAAATCTCCACAAATCCTATCTCATCTGCTTTCAGTGGTCGCTATTTTTCCCTTCCCATTTGCCATTAGATTTCCCAAGTCAAATCGTCCAACCCCCACAAGTCCTATTTCATCTGCTTTGCAGTGGTCGCTATTCATGTTTTTCTCATTTTACATCATTTTCCTGTTGTGTCTCCCGTTGTGTCTCTCCGTTTTGCCTCCCCGGGGCGGCGTTTGCAACTGCTCACCGTCCAGACCGTTCTGAGCAGTGAAGCTGTGGGGGCGAGCAGTTCCAAGCGCCTCCCTGGTGAGACACAACGGGCGCCATAGATTTCCCAAGTCAAATCGTCAAATCTCCACAAGTCCTATCTCATCTGCTTTCAGTGGTCGCTATTTTTCCCTTGCCACACCCATGTGCCATTAGATTTCCCAAGTCAAATCGTCAAACCCCCACAAGTCCTATCTCATCTGCTTTGCAGTGGTCGCTATTCAGCTTTTTCTCAGTTTACATCATTTTCCTGTTGTGTCTCCCGTTGTGCCTCTCCGTTGTGTCTCCCCGGAGAGGCGTTTGCAACTGCTGACCGTCCAGCCCGTTCTGAGCAGTGAAGCTGTGGGGGCGAGCAGTTCCAAGCGCCTCCCCGGTGAGACACAACGGGTGCCATAGATTTCCCAAGTCAAAGCGTCAAATCTCCACAAGTCCTATCTCATCTGCTTTCAGTGGTCGCTATTTTTCCCTTGCCACACACATGTGCCATTAGATTTCCCAAGTCAAATCGTCAAACCCCTACAAGTCCTATCTCATCTGCTTTCCCCTGCGCCATTAGATTTCCCAACTCAAATCGTCAAACCCCCACAAGTCCTATCTCATCTGCTTTGCAGTGGTCGCTATTCAGCTTTTTCTCATTTTACATCATTTTCCTGTTGTGTCTCTCCGTTTTGCCCCCCTGGGGCCGCGTTTGCAACTGCTCACCGTCCAGACCATTCTGAGCAGTGAAGCTGTGGGGGCGAGCAGTTCCAAGCGCCTCCCCGGTGAGACACAACGGGTGCCATAGATTTCCCAAGTCAAATCGTCAAATCTCCACAAGTCCTATCTCATCTGCTTTCAGTGGTCGCTATTTTTCCCGTGCCACACCCATGTGCCATTAGATTTCCCAAGCCAAATCGTCAAACCCCCACAAGTCCTATCTCATCTGCTTTGCAGTGGTCGCTATTCAGCTTTTTCTCAGTTTACATCATTTTCCTGTTGTGTCTCCCGTTGTGTCTCTCCGTTTTGCCTCCCCGGGGCCGCGTTTGCAACTGCTCACCGTCCAGACCGTTCTGAGCAGTGAAGCTTTGGGGGCGAGCAGTTCCAAGCGCCTCCCCGGTGAGACACAACGGGTGCCATAGATTTCCCAAGTCAAATCGTCAAATCTCCACAAGTCCTATCTCATCTGCTTTGCAGTGGTCGCTATTCAGCTTTTTCTCATTTTACATCATTTTCCTGTTGTGTCGCAACTGCAAACGCCTCCAGCCCGTTCTGAGCAGTGAAGCTGTGGGCGCGAGCAGTTCCAAGCGCCTCCCCGGTGAGACACAACGGGTGCCATAGATTTCCCAAGTCAAAGCGTCAAATCTCCACAAGTCCTATCTGCTTTCAGTGGTCGCTATTTTTCCCTTGCCGCACCCACGTGCCATTAGATTTCCCAGGTCAAATCGTCAAATCTCCACAAGTCCTATCTCATCTGCTTTGCAGTGGTCGCTATTTTTCCCTTGCCGCGCCCATATGCCATGAGATTTCCCAGGTCAAATCGTCAAATCTCCAAAAGTCCTATCTCATCTGCTTTTAGTGGTCGCTATTTTTCCCTTGCCGCGCCGATGCGGCATCAGATTTCCCAGGTCAAATCGTCAAATCCCCACAAGTCCTATCTCATCTGCTTTTAGTGGTCGCTATCTTTCCCCTGCCGCACCCATGTGCTTTTAGATTTCCCAGGTCAAATCGTCAAATCTCCAAAAGTCCTATCTCATCTGCTTTTAGAGGTCGCTATTTTTCCCTTGCCGCGCCAATGTGCCATTAGATTTCTCTGCTCAATCGTCAAATCCCCACAAGTCCTATGTCATCTGCTTTTACACGGGGAAGTGCATCCTGGCTCCCACTCCCCATTCTTATTTTTAACGGGAAGCTACCAGAGGCCATGTGGGAAACTGCGGAGGTGCACAGCGAGACCGGTTACATGCAACAACAGGGAGACACGCGGCCCGCGAGCCGTGTCGCTTCCCGTTAGAGATAAAAACAGGGAGACACGTGGCCGTCCGTTCTCCGCGAGCCGTGTTGCTGCCCGTTATTAAAGCTAACAACAGTAGAGAAACAACGAGAAAATGAAAAAAAAAACGTTCAGTAGCTTTTTACCTTATTGCCAAATGGCTCAGGATGAAACCCATGAGATGGGAATTCTTCATGGGATATAGATGCTACAGTCCCAACACATGGGTTATGTGAACATACCCCAAATCAGCCCTAAGTCCTATCTCATGTGTCCAAACTGTAGCCTGTAGCATAAAAAAAACACACCGTGGGAATGTAAAAACTTGATGCAGGTATCCTTCAAATGACTACTAGAACCACATGAGATAGGAGTTTGGCACTTTCAAAGGGCAAAAACAATACTTTACTCATGAGATGGGAAATCAAGAAAACTGGACCCTCCGACAACTCCTATCTCATCCGTACCTAGTATAAGTATGGTCAAGAATCGGTAAGTTCCAAAAACCCCTAGAAATGGTTGCCCACGTTTTTTTCCATGCTTTTCCCCCTTGACAAGGCACCTTTCCCCGCACACGCGCACGCCTCGAAGGGTGCCTGGCGTGTCTGTTCCATCCCCTGCCGCAGCCGCTGCCAGCTGCGGATCTCGTAGCGTCGAAGCTCCGCCGAGAGCGGTCCCAGTCCAGCGCCCGGGTCCTACATTTCTGGGGCATTTTTTGGGGTAAAAATGTTGGAAAAATGCTGAACAAATGGTGGAAACATGTTAGATAAGATATTGTTATATTAAATATTCAAACACCTCGTCTATATGCGGCTCGGAAACTGTAACTAGTCGCTCCCTCCTACCCACCAAATAGTTAAATAGTTTGGGTGAAACACTTTGAAGATGTTGATCTCTTTTGGTATTTTATGCAGATTCTTAGATATAAAAGACAAAAAGGTCCAGGATGAAAATGATGGGAACATATGGGAACCTGTTCTGATTGGAGTCAAGATGTTCTGTTCTCAACGGGTGCGATTTACGTCCATGACATATTCAAGAATAGACCAGCATTCTCGCAACGCTTCTGGGATCTCGTCCAATGACGGACGGAGCTATCGTTAGATCCGAACTCAAACTCGGCCCTTCAAGCTGCAAATTTCATGGGAGCCAATGTTTGGCAATGAATTCCAATTGCATGTACCCCCATAAGGACCAAAATTCTGCCGCCAACCTCCCACCTGAAAACTCTTCCCCAAGACAAATCTCTTGCAGAAGAGCTGCATGGCGGAACCAGTCAAGCTTGAGGACATAGAAGGCGAGAAGCTCACTGATTGCAACCACAACACCTGGCCAAGGTTTTAAGCTTTGTCGTGGACTAGTCGACTACCTACCTCCTTCGATGCTGATTCTAACTTTCAACCCTCCCTAAAACAAATGTAAATATCGTAAATGGGTTGCGGATCACCAGTTATGGAGCCCATTACTGATGCTATAACTCATTCATAGGAATGATTATGATTGGTGCCAAAGTCGATTTTGGGAATCCTAGTGACGTCCCAAACAGTATGACGGATCTGACCTCTGAGCGCCTGTGAAAAAGGAACGAACCCATTGTACAAGTGCACAATAAAACAAATACTAAATGTTAATGTCGCTATATCATATCATGGGATTATTTTTAGATGTTCCTGGTTTTATTAGAGAAATTATTGATAATCACCGAACCAGATTATTATCATGACTGGTTGGTGGGGACCATCGTGCCAAATAGGGCTGATTTTAAAACTAACAACCAGGTTACAATCATGATAGGTTTTTGTTTTACCCAATGGATTACCCTCTGGTAAACTCAGACTTCGCTATGGAAAATAACCATTTCAACTAGCCAACTAAATGGGCCATTTTCCTAGCTATGTTAGTTTACTGGAGCAGAGGTTGTTCAATGTCCCAATTGAACATCACCCTAGGGAGATAACTTCCAACCGATATTTTAAGTGATGAAACAATTACCAACCCAAGTGAAGGGTGTACACTGTAGCATATTAGCCACTGATCATGGTATATGTATAAATATATGTATATATAAAACAAAGTATATTAATATACCACTAATGGATCGTTCATAATGTGGATATTACCCTCCAGTAAATTAACCTAGACCCTGCCAGAAAATTGGCTATTTTCAGGGGTCTAATGTGAATTTGCCAGAGGTAACCACGAATGAAGTCACCCCACGGCGTATCGTGCCTGCTCCGCTGGCAAGGCTCCGCCAGGCCCTCCTCAGCTGCCTCCGCGCGCGACGCAGCACCTGCGTCGCGCGGCGGCGCCAGCGCGGATGGCGGACGCCTGGCGGGGCACTGCTTCCCAGCCAACATAGTTGCTTGTCCCATCTGGGCAGAACATGGCAAAACTTCTCCATCCCCAAAAATTAAAATGAGTGATTCAATAATGTGTCACACTAAACCTGACCAAACAATTGCTCCAATACATCCAAAGACTTGACCGTCGACCCATCCCATATGCTTTCACTCCTCATGCTTTCCGCACCTTTGGCTGCACCATAGGGGCCCCTGATGTTCCAAGCCAGGGCCGGCCACCTTTTCCGAAAATCGGAGAGCTTAAGCTCAGCAGAAGACACCAAGCAGCAGCGTTCAAAGGTGAACATCTCATCAAAACATTCCGGAGGACCTCGGAAATCCACTTTGCTGATGCTTTCTGAAGCTGGATCCTCTCCAAATCCCCAATCATCACCAACCATTGATGCCCCCACCAAACAAATATTGATTTCATCAGTATGGTTTCGCAACATCCATTCTACGTCATCTGCATTTGTGACAACACATCTCTCAACCTACCATTCTCCCGGTCTTCCGCAACCCACGTTCCGTTCAGCGCCAGAAAACGTGAGAAACAACAGCTGCTGAAGGAGAAACCGTCCTGAGCAGATGAAAACGGCAAAGTGGGCAGGTAGTCATTTGCGCAGGGTCCCAAATTCAGGAGGAACATTTAGTATATTTTTTCCAGTTCATCAACATTGGCCAAACTCCATCAACAATCATCCATCATCAATCTTCATCAACATTCATCAAGATCCACAACACCACACCAACCTTCCCAAGCTTCTGACCAACATCCAGCATCCAGTTGCATAGTCACAGCTCACTTTGTCGCAGTCTCCACCGTACCACGGCTGGAAATTCAGCCTTTCACAGTTGGTACCGTGGCTCCATCGGCGCCAACATGGCAAGGTTTCGCTCACGCCCACGCCGGGCCGGTGATGTGCACAGAGACTTTCGGGCATAGCCTTGATACCCTCCGGTCATCTGGCTGGAAATCCCAAGACCTTTCGATGTCCAGATGATTCTCCAAACGAGATTGCCAAATCGGATTAGTAATTTGAGGTGTCTTTTCTTCCATTTCCAACAAGTCGCCAAATAAGATTCGATACATCAGAAAGTAAACCCACTAATATCCCATTTTCTCCATATACATATTAATATACGCGTATATATATGCCATGGTGTTTGGAATGTATATATAGGAAATCAATTTTTTCCCCATATCCCAATTTTCTCAAGATTTCCTCACCATTTCTTTTTTTGGTCGCCCAGGTCACCGGGCTCGGCAACAACGCTCGGCCAGCCTGGAGCTTTCCAGCTGGGTTACAGAGTAACACAGATGAAAAAAATCAGGTGTCAATAAAGACTAAAGACCTATAATGGGCATATACATATAATCATACATACATATATGTATTATATATATATTACATATGCATATATGTGATTATATATGTATGTATGTATGTGTACTGATGTACTGTATGTACCGTGATATCTCATCCACCTGCTTGGCCACCACGAGCTGGTCTTCCTGGTGCCACCACCTGGGCTGTGATCTATGGGAAAATCACATTTTTCTAAGGGGTAAATGATGGTACCCTCTGGTAAACTAACATAACTATGGAAAATCACCAATGGGAAAATCCACTATAAATGGCCATTTTCAATAGCTACGTTAAATTACCAGAGGGTAGATGATCTATAAATGGGCCATGAACAATCATGAACATATATCTATAGCAAACATTAGCAAACTCTGGTCATGTTCATTATTGTTCATTTCTACATATGGTAATTATTTTCATCCATTTTCCATATGTTCCATAGCAAACTGTGAAATTTACCCAGAGATACCCAGAGGGTATGTGGAAAAAATTGGAAACAACCATGAAAACCTGTGATTTTTTTGAGGACTGTCAAATTGTCAAGGGGATCTGGACAGCTATTATAGTACAAAATCTGCTAACACCTCCTCGGGCATGGGATGCCTCAGGTCCCGGCAATGCTGGCGAACCAGGAACCACCACGAACTGGATCTGTTGCGGAGCTTTCATGGGACAAGTGGGCTGCTAAATATTCACTACTCAATTCCCTGAAGCTGTGGAAAGTGCAAAACCATGCAAAACCAGCATGTGGCTGTGGCGCAAAAAAATCCAATGGTGTGCATCTGATTCATTTGTCCCTTGCAGCTTGCATCTACTATTCCTCTCCGTTCGATTTCTCTCCGTTCGATTTATTCCTAACAAACATCTCCTCCTTGTGTCTCTCGAAACAAGACTCCTCTCCAATGAAGGGAAAATTCTGTCTCCAGCGCGTACATGCCAGCACCCTGAAAAGGTTATCGAGTTACTTTCCCCAGGAATGACCACTGGGACTTTCGTTCATTGGTTCAACTTACTGTCAGCTGGTACCTGCTTAGTAGCTTCACCCAAACAATATAAATCAACTGGAGTCTCATGGTCTGTTCTGGGCCTGCAGCTGGATTTCATCTGCAGCGGATGGGGCTTCAACCTGAAATTGAGAGGTGGCAAAGCAAAATGGTCAGCCCAAGCTGCTGTAGGAATGAATCATATGGAATCATCTCATCTTGGATGTTTGCAACGTGTATGATTCCCAAGCAAAACGATCAAGAGATTCGAGACCAGCCCGGGAAGAAAGATCTCAGAGTTGCTGAAATTTGGGGAGATTCGCGAACCACCCAAGTATACATAATAACCTTACTACCAACCAAGGAACACTAGCATAAAGTTTGCATATGTTTGCATGTTGGTCGCAGAACATTGCCAACCGGTGAAAACGACCAGCACCAGTTTCACCCAGAAACCACACATTTCTGGGTGGTGTCTTTCTCCACGATGTGAAAGTCCAACCTGAATGCATGACTCAGCGTTAAATTGCTGAGAATCATCCCTAGCCCCAGAAGAGAGAATGGTTTAGCGGGGTCCCTGTCATGTAAGGATGGGAAGTGAATGTTCGAGCCACCAGCAAGCCATTAAGCAATCTTCCAACCTCTCTCACCCCGCTTTTACCTCCGATCCGCCTTGTGCACTTTCGAAGTGAAGCTAAAATGTGCACACAAACAAAGCAGATCACTTCTTAAGTCTCAGATCTATCCATTGTGAATCATGAAACAAAAGGCAAAAACAAACGCCCATCAATGGCCCATAAACATATCTGGTTGGTGGTTTCAACCCCTCTGAAAAATATTAGTCAGTTGGGATGAGTATTCCCAATATATGGAAAAAATGTTCCAAACCACCAACCAGATATTTATATATATTATATTTTTTTTTTTTCGAACGTTCCGCCCCACCCCAGCTGCCTGGAACCTTTGCTGGTCACCTCTTCGACCTTCAGCCACCTGGGCACTGCGGCCGGCCAGGTTGGCGGCAGCGGCCTGCCTTTTATAACATTGCGATCTGAAAATGTGGGAAAGCATGGGAAAGCCAGGCTTTTATATGCTTTTATAACATTCATTGGTTTTCAACTGTCATATCAATCAATACAAATCATTAACAAAAGCATAACGACCATAACGTCTGCTTCGAGGTGTAGAAACAAATGGTACACTTAGGCTACAGGTCTGCTTTCATTATTCGATTTTCCGTTCTTTGCGCACATGAGTCATATCCTTCCAATATCTTCCAATTATATAACCCCATGTGGGACCCTAACAGGTCCGAAACCAGGCAGCCACTGAGAGTCTCTGCTGTTGGAGTTCCACCACCTGCTACGGATTTCCATGGATTTCCATGGATTTCCAGGGTGGAACCAAACTCAGGTCCCGCAAAGGCACATCATATTGACCATGAGTGTCAATGACAACATGTCACATCTATAATGCCTATAGCTGCTCAGTCATTTCTGCAATATTCTGCATGTGTTGGGGGAGAGAGCATGGCTACACATGGAAGGGTAGGCCAGGGCATCGGGAAAAGTTGAGCAAGAAGTGCCAAGTGTGTGCAGCATCCAACAGCAAGCGGCTTAGAACCATGGTCAAAAGCCAGTCACACAGTGGCATGCCGCTAACGCTATTGCTGGTTCGCATCGGTTAGCTGTGGCATATCTAGCTACTGTTCTTGGGATGTACTTCCAACTGGGTATTGGTCAAGAAATTAGGGCATCAATGGGCCAGAACAAACATGTTTTTTGTGGGATCTAGAAAATTCATGACAATTCTAGAAATCTACGGTATAGAATCCAATCATCTAATCTAAACCCATCCATTTTGAGGGTTTGATAACTTTGATTCACAGCCACCCGATCCCCCAGCGCCTGCGTCGCCTCCCGGGACCCAGAGAACTGCAACTGGAAATTGCCACGCAAGGTCCTTCCCTGGAACTCTGAAAATGATGTGCGAATCGAGGTCACTGGGGTTGGCGTCCTGAGAATTGCAGTCTTTAATAGGTCTTAGCATTGTCTTAACATCTCTTAACTAGAATGAACTATAATGAACTATAATGTGGGGAATTATGTGCAGTCTGTGGTTTTGGAGCCTGATTTTGAAACACACCTGAATAGGATATACACCATGACCCATGTAATCCCATGTGACGCCCACACCTCGAAGTCCACCACGAAAATCAGGTCCTCAACAGGGGCGATATGGGGAAATGATATTGCAATATTTTACACATGAATATGCATATAGACCTCCGAGAGAGAGAGAGAGAGATGTATATATATATATATAAGTTTGATAGATATTGATGGGAGCAATAAATTGCATGTAAAATGGTGTAAATGGATGTCTCAGCTATATTACTGTACGTCCTACACCAATCATAGGGACAAAGCAAATGCGCTGCAACTACAATCGAATACTATGCGGCAGGTCACCCAATGACTCCATTTCAACCCTATGCCTACCAAATATCTGGCTGCTACTCACCGTGGGCATCAACATGTCAAAGTGATGCCAACCCCTTGCATATTTCTAGAATGTTTCACGACTCATTCTTCCAATTTGCGGAAGTGCTTGTATCAAATCAGAAGTCACGCTCGACCACATGTCAACTTGTGTCCTTTAGTGAACTTTAGTGTCTGAAAATTGGAAGCCCTGAATTTTCACGGCCCTAAGGTTGCCCACTGCTCAGCAAGCCGCTCAAACCGTGACATCCGGAAAGCATTGAGGCCAAGGCAGTTACGTGCATGGCCTGACGACATGCCTCAGCGCCAGCAGAATTAATGAGTCATAAATCTCCTCACCGTGACCTAAAGGGAGCACTTGCATTTGGACATTTTGGGTGGACTGTCTTCATACATATGATGAAAAACCTACCATTGAATAAATGCTTGGTTCATGAATATCAAAGGTACCATTCGGTACCGTGTTGCATTAAAATCAGCACTGTTTCCACCTGACACACACACACACACCCTCAATCTACACATCATGACCATCCAGGAAGCTAACACACAAATGGATGGAACATCCAAAGCTAACACAGATACTCAAAATCGGCCATTTGCAGATCACATCCGGACAGAAAAACCATGGAATTCCATAGCTTTTTGTAATGTATACTGGAGGGTGCTATGCATGACTGTCCCATGGTCATCCGCAGAATGGTCGTGGAACATATACCCCTCCGTAAACTGGTAAACTAACATAGTTTGCTGGAAACTCTAGCATGTGAACATATTTGCATTTGCAAACTGAATATTTCTCTCAGTCATGTTTGATGGAACCCCCTACAGTATGTAGCCTTTTCTTTTGCTTGCATGTCAACAAGACTGCAAACAGGACCTGGAAACCTAGGACGCATGTAGCAGTCACAAACAAACAATACACATTCAGCAAACGCACTATGTATAATCTATGTGTACCATGCCCTCCTCTAATATTAAATTTGAGTGCACGCTATGGCACCCCCAAAATGAACTTCATGAAATAAACAACATTAAGAACATACC